ACCGAAAGGGCAATTTCATATAACCCAGCTGTTGTGGAGACAGACGCTGACATTGCTCATCCAGAAAAAGTTTGAGAATCTTAAAATTTAGAAAATATGTAGATTTTTATCTAAAAACAATTTTTTCATCCCCAAGAAAGTGTGATTCCTCCTCAGATCTCAGAATTCCTAATTCCTAAGTTGTCCTTTTACTTTGTTTCTACTCAATTTTAAGTTAATAAAAGCAATAGCCTGAAATTGCTGCAAGATATCAAGTGTCATAAAATGCCAACTCTAAGAAAGGGCACTGAAATTAAGCCTAAAGGACATGACTACATTGTCCCACAAAACATTTGACCCTCCTTATTTTATTTGATGTTGCAACATTTGCCTCTAATGTGCCTAAGGCCCAAACAGAAAAATAAAAGAACTCCACAATTTTCTTTGAATAGTCTGGAAATAATATCTTATTTCCAAATTACATTGATTTAAAATTACTCTTCTGCCATTTTTTCTTCAGGTTAGAGTTTATGCTTCTGAGTTTGACTCACAAAGGCATCATCCAAAGGGCAAGAAAAGTATATGTACAATCTTCTTTATGTGATGATAGTACAACACAATTGGCAGTACCAAGAATGGTGGAAAACTGTATTTGAGACCAAAAGAAAAATTCTGTATTAATAAAACAAAGTATCAGGTCTAAACTTGTAGGCCAAAGACAATAACTGGATCTATCTTTCATTTTATTTTTTATTTTTTTTTTTTTAAGATTTTATTTATTTATTTGAGAGAGAGAATGAGATAGAGAGCATGAGAGGGGGGAGGGTCAGAGGGAGAAGCAGACTCCCTGCCGAGCGGGAGCCCAATGCGGGACTCAATACAGGGACTCCAGGATCATGACCTGAGCCAAAGGCAGTCGCTTAACCAACTGAGCCACCCAGGCGCCCTGGATCTATCTTTTAAAATAAGAATAGTAAAAAAAGTCAAGTGGTTCTTGAGAAGGAAGAGATAAAAAGGAAGATAGAGTATCTACTAGAGTTTATATCAATTGGTATGAATCAAAATATTACCTAGTAGTGTTCATAAAATAAGTTGCCAAGGTTGTTTCTACTTAGGAAATATAGAGATTTAAGAAATTACTCTGATAGTTTAGATATGGCAACTTGGTATTTGCAGTTGGACAAGGGAAGGAGAGAAAGGTGGAAAATAAATTATTGTTTAGAAAGACTGGCACTGTATAGTGAATTCACCACGTATTTGCTAGAAGTTCCAGTTTGAGAATGAAGATGGTTTGAGAAATTGTTACACCCCTATTACTCTCTTACTGAGATCAAGTCCAAAAAACCCCAGATCAAGAGTCTAAGTTTAAATTGTCTGACCCAGCTATTTCCAGCATATTATAACTGACTCAGTTGTTGCATAAACCATTATATAAAACCAGCCATGTATTTCATAAAAGAAAAAAAAATAGACTGCAGCTGATTTGGAGAAATCAAGTTCTAGAGTCCTGTATGAGTATACCATGTTCATCTAAAAAATTTATACTCTGGACCACATGACAAGCCTGCTTTGTTTCATGAAGGGTTTGATGGAGTAAAAGCAAGGAGGCAAGAGCTATGATTTTCAATGTAAATATGACTAGGAAAAGAAGCCACACATGGGCACTTACATATTTTAGTGATGGTGTTGATTCAGGTGATGTAATACTCATAATACTTCATTCAAAAGTCAGTAAATAGTATAAAATACTGCTGGAGACCAAAATATAATTGTGTCCTCTGGGAACAGAAGAGATACCTGATGAAGATCATGACCATGTTGATGATCAGTTTTGAAGACAACAATAAAATGCCTCCATTTCTTAGCTTAGATCATCTGGTTTTCATTTCTTTTGGAGGTGAAAATGCCCTCTTTATGGAAGAGTTGAACAGGTGTTGTTCCCTACTTCTTCTTCTTCTTCTTTTTTTTTTTTAATTTCCTCAGCAAGTCAAGTGATTTCATTCCTGACGTGGGAAAAGAATGTTAAGATAGATGCTGCTAGAAATGACAATGTCAAATTCTGACAGAGTGATTATTTCAAGCTCAGAATGATTTGCTTTTAAGACAGAAACCTTTGGTTTGTTTGTTTTGTGGCTATTAGACATTTAATACTTTCACTGAGACAAATTGAGTGTAAACTTTCAAAAGAAAAACAGCAAGAAATATTTAAATAAACCATCCTAAACATAGATGCTTGCATAAAAAATAAGTATAAAAGTGCCGATTGAAGAGAAATTTTCTCCCAGGAGACTTTCCACATGTTCATTCTATTTTACTTCCACATGGAGTCTGTGAAGAAACCCAGTATATCCACAAAGCTTTATGAATGACCTTTGGAAATAAAACAGTACTAAACTTTTAGGAGAGACCAGCCCTATAGTTTCTGAAATTGTATGAGGAAACGTCCTGCTTTCAAACCCACCATGTTTTTTTTTTTGTTTTTTTTTTTTTAAGTTTTAAGTAATCTTTACACCCAGTTGGGGCTTGAACTTACAACCCCAAGATCAAGATTTGCACACTCTACTATCTGAGCCAGCCAGGCACCTCTGCTATCCTCAGTGAGTATGTGGAAGTTTTGCAAAGTGTTATAGTCAAAACTGAAGGCAAGATTTCAATTCTTGTGATTGGTAATGGAAAGTGTGATTTGTAATAGTTTTTCATGAGTATCTCTGTTTTCTCCAAAAGTGGATTTCTATCTCTAATATCGATGTTGTAAATTTGTTAAAAATGTTTTAAAATATTTCATCTCAAAATGTTCTTCCTGTTTACTAAGCAATAACTAAATAGCCTCAATTACCATTTGAAGTCCATTTTACTTATTATCCTAATAAAATTGTCTGTTTTTCAATTTTATATGCAACTCCGGATTGTACTATATTATAAATTGAGAAAATTAATTTTTTTGTACTTATTATCAAAACTTATTAAAGCCCTAGGATTGTTTATTAATTGATTTCTAAAAAGTCATCATTTTTATTCATCATGTATGAGCTATGAGACTGTGAGAAAGCTAATGTATTTAACCTTCAAAGTATGGATCAGAAAGATCTATTATTGATAATGTTTAGAGAGGAGTTCTAATAACCTCCCACTATTATGAGTAATAAAAATTAAATGTGTAAGTGAAGAAAACTATTACCAAGTGAAACCACCCTTTTAAAAAGTGCTGGTCTATTTCAAAAGAAGCGTTGATATTCTCCAAAAGCCTCCATTCTGTCCCTGAGGGCTATACTACAGCTTGTAACGGTATAATCAAAAAGCACTGGCATTCTGTTCTTACAACTACATTCAGCTGTGATTAATCCTCTCCATAGTTTATCTGCCTCTCCGTGTATCCTAAAGACCCTAACTGCAACCAATTTGGTACAGTATCACATGGGAGGATGTGTGATTAACTCATTAATGTGTCTGTTTTAAATCTAAACAACTATGGAGATGTCCTAGTGATTTGGCTTTATCAGTTTGATGGCTGTGTATAGCAGGTATGTGGCAAAATTATTATAGGAAACTTCAGTAAATTAGTATGATTGCACTATACTGTTTCATTTTATTATTCAATATCTAAAAAAATACCTGGGAAGACTGAAAGTCATAACAGAGATTTGTTACTATGAAGTTGATTTTTAAAAGTCACAATTACGTTTCCAATTAAAATATGATACAACTTTCCTTGTTAAGGGGGGGGTGTCTTTTTTTCCCCTTCGGCTCCACGATTTGGTTTTCTGTAAGTAAATCTCAAACAATTACAGAAAATAGCAAGAGCTAGCAAATATGATTGGCATGAATTTCTCTGAAAATATTAATTTTTTCAAAAATTCATTACTATTGTGAATCTAGATTGACCTTACCCTTATGTAATAAAACTAATTTTTACCTAATACTGAGTTACATTCTATTTCAGATTTCCTATTTCAAAGGGTGTCTCAAATTTCTAAGATGTTAAACTAAGTATTGAGCCATTTTTGTATATGTAATAAAAGTCTTTAAAATTAAAACGGTAATCCTAAAAAAACTAAATGCATGAAAAATATGGTCTGACTATATAACAAAAGGGAGTTATATAATTCTACTTGAGTGAGATCTTTCATCTTTGATTTACAGGTTAGAGTCCTCTTTAACTAAAACCATATTGTTCTATATCTTTCATATCACGGCCTTCCCTAAAACCTTGTTTTAATTAAAGTTTCCTTCAGATTTCTGAATAAAAGCATGACAATCTTCACTTATGGCTTTAATATATCCTTTGAGTTAGGAAAATATATAAAAAGAAACATCAACTCTTTCAAAAAGCATTGTCAGATATTAAATACTGCGAGGTATTCTACATCAATGTCTTTAGGTGTTTGAGTTATACACTGAAATAAAATTTTGGGAGGTAGGGGCATAACGTAGTTCTATTTAGTAAATCACTTTTAATCTCAGAAATAAATGTCCTTTATTTTTAGCCTTTGACATTAAGGCAACATGTGTAAAGGTTAAATTTGTGTTTTTGTGTTTTTTCCGCAGGAAGGCACAACTTCAAGGTTAACACAATTCAAGGTGACTTCAAATAGGCAATGCCTTCATTAACACATTTTGAAGATCTAGAAAATTCAGTAATATTGCTTCACCTCAGTGCTGTCACCGCTAAAAGAACACATCATGCCAAGCAACTGTGTTAACCTGAAAAGTAAAAAATAAAATAAAATAAATGAAATACTCAAAGCTCCTGAGTAATTGGGGAGATTGTGGGTAATCTTTAGCTTTTCTATAAGGAAGGAATAATGAAAGGTAAGAAGAAAGGATGTGATGGAGGAAATAAGATGAAAAGTGAGAACTAAGTTCTTGAGAGATTTGGAAAAAATTAAGACCATCCTCGGTGGAACATATGCTTGAAACTCTTATCATCAGGGCAAGGGATGTATGAGGGGGACGGGAGACCTCATCCTCAAATACAATTGCAAATCTCCCATGTGTGAGAATACACAGAGGGATGTTAGGGAAATAGGGTTATTTTTTTCAAAAACTGTGACATAAAATATTGCACCATTACATACAGTATGAGGTTCCTTTGGCATTTGGACTTTGAGATATAGCATGGTTTATTCTATTGAAAAAAGCCTCATCCCAGTTCCTCCATCTTGAACTCTTACTAGCAAGAGTTGAACAATGTGTTAAAACAAAGGCCAAAAAACAAACAAAACAAAACAACAAAACAACCCCTGCAATATGTCGGGAACTGCTATCGGTTCATAGTTGAAAGCAAATCCTATAAACAATTTAAGACTAACAAAAATTACCCAACAAGAAACTGATCAGAATGTCAGGAATGAGTATTTCTCAGGTTTTGCCCAAAATTTCACTGGCTGTCATAGCATCCATAATAATTAATAGTATCTAATGCTGTACTGGATGTTATTAGTTCATACTTTGGGCCTGGGAGTGGGTCACCCAGCATATTAAAAGTATGCTGGAAGCAGTTTCTTCCAATCGTGATTTACTGTAACTTTAAAATCACAGCAGTTCCGTTTTAGGAATCTTTAATGCCCTTTCAAGTCCATCCAAAGAACAAGTGAAGCTGCTGTTCAGAATTTTGTGCCCAGTGTTTATGTTACACCGAATCTGTGCCACCCAGGCAGCAGACAAGACATGTCTGAGGGTGCTGGGTGGGGGGGATACACAATGATGTCACACACAGGAAATATGGGGGTGGGGGGCTTGGCACTTCACAAGGCTGGCTCCTCTTCCATAGGCTCACCAGCAGTTCTGTAAAAATAAACAGGCAATCAGAATACGGCATAAGAGTACACAATGACATTGTAGATTTTCATGCATAATCAAAGCTGATTTTTCAGCTCTCTCTGATGTTTATTTGTGTTATTCAGTTATCCATAAATAGCGTTTCTTTCCTAGGAAGTATAAACAAATGTCAAGTGGAAAAACATTTTAGATCCAAGCAATCATTGGAAATGTTCCTGTTTATATTAAAACATGTCAAAATATTTTATAATTCTAGATTCTGAAATGTACCTGTTTTGTGTCTAGCACAGTCCAATAATTTATTGAAAAAATTAACTACAATATTTTATTTTAGGAGCAATCACAATGATTTCCTATGGAACCAGTTTGCTAATGAGAGCAAAAGACCCAGCTCGCTTCTGGAGGAGACTCACCAGGGCTCTAGTTTTTGCTTCTGTTCTTTCATAACTGGATTGGCTGCCTGCCGGAGGCATTTCAAATCAAATTCTGAATTTGATTAGCAAATCGCTGCTACAGACCCAATGTTTTTACAAGAAATGCTCTATAGTAGTGTGTAAATAGTTTTTATTCAGCATCATCTGTGGGGTGTTCTGCTCAGGCAAAACCAAAACTAATTGCTTGAAAATTTATACTTGATATTTAAACTTAATTTAGTAACACTCTGAGGGTGTTTTAAGGCAAACTTTTAGAATGATTTTTAATTTAGTCAAAGGGACAGATTGTAGCAGAAATCCAAATACATAAAGTAGTTGGATTGTTGAAGGAAGAAAACTGGGATTTGAGATGCCAAGAGAATTGAGTTTGAATCTGAGCTCTAGGATTTGCTAATGTTGAAATTGCTAATGTTGTAACTACACTTCTGTGAAGCGGTGGCTTCAGGTTCAAAACCCTGGGAAAAAATGTTCCTAACAGAATTAGTGAAGGTTAAAAAAAAAGGAGATAAAAGTGACTTGTAAATAATAAACACTATGAGACACTACATATTTAATATTTTGGATTTGTCCCTTTGTCATCTAACACATACATAAAATTGTGTGAATGGCACAAAGATACAGAGTTATGCCTATGCTACCACAGGAAACTAAGGAAACACAATATTTGGATGATGGTTCTCTTTGGGTGGTGGGATAATAGATGGTGGTTTTCATTTTCTTTTTCATATAGTTTATATTTGCCAGTATTCTATAATGAGTTACTTTCATATTAGAAAAAAATGCCATGTTTAAAACACAGCTGTTTATGAAGACTAGTTAGCTACGTTTTTTAATAGATTTATAGGGAAAAAAAGTCCAAGATTTCTATGCATCTATAAGTAGTTGCCATTTTAACTTAGTGTTTTTGTAATAAATTTAAAATATTGAAATAAAGTTTCTATCCATGAGATGGTAATAAAAAGGATTTTAATGGATCCTCTAAAGAATGAGAAATATCATTCATTATTTAACATTACCCAAATGAGGGAGTTCCAAATGAGTCTACGTGGAGCACACACACACAAAAATAATTTCTTACGAAGTTATAGCCTGACCAAGAGTATACTGGATAAGGAGGCTGTGAGAAAGTGTTTAGAGTTGCCATATAAGATAAAAGCTATTTAAATGAGTCATACTCTATTAAAATCTTTCCAAACTAAAATGATCAGCATTCTGAGAAGAAAATTCTTAAAGAAAACATTTAAGTAGCTAATTTATATGTAACATGCAAACTTATTTACATCTAAGAATATGTGGATAATATAGGTGTAGAATCCTCAAACTAGATACTCTAATGGAGACTGAGTTTTCTTAAATTTTTCCAGCTTTGAGATCCAACTGATATACAACATTATATAAATTTAAGGTGTACAATGTGATGATTTGATACACATATATATTATAAAATGTTTACCACAAAAACACATCTTTCACGTAAGTACCATTTTTTTGTTGTTGTTATGGTAAGAACGTTCAAGATTTAATCTCATAGCAACTTTCATGCATACAATACAATATTGTTAACTATAGTCACCTTGCCTTACATTAGATCCCTGGAATTTATTCATCTATAATTGAAAGTTTGTACACTTTGACCAACATTGCCCTATTTCCCCCAACTCCCAGCTCCTGGTAACTATCAATCTAGTCTCTGTTTCTGTAAGTTCAACATGGGCCTTTTGCAGTTTTATTGAGAAATAATTGACATATATCATTGTATAAGGTTAAGGTGGTTTGATTTACATTTATTGTGAAATGATTATTGTAATAGGTTTAGTTAACATCCATCATCTTATATACATATTGAGGTCAATGTTTTTAGATTTTACATATAAGTGAGATCATACCGATAAGTATTTGTCTTTCTCTGTCTGCCTTATGTCACTTAGCATAATGCCCTCAGGTTCACCCATGTTGAATCTTCTCTTTTATGGCTGAATAATATTAATAGTCCATTGGAAGTTTATACCACCTTTTCTTCATCCATTCATCCATCAATGGAGAGAGATGTTTAGGTTGTTTCCTTGTCTTGGCTATAGTGAGTAATGCAATGAACATGAGAGTACAGATATCTCTTCAAGACAGTGATTTTTGTTTCCTTTGGATAAATACCCAGAAGGTAGACTGCTGTATCACATGGTAGTTCTACTTTGAATTTCTTGAGGAACCTCCATCACTAACATTTGTTTCCCCTTGTCTTTTTTATGCTAGCCATTTTAACTGATGTAAAATGGTGTCTCATTGTGGTTTTGATTTGCATTTCCCTACTGATTAGGGATACTGAACATCTTTTCATATACCTGTTGGCCATGTCTTCTTTAGAAAAATATCTGTTCTGGTCCTTTGTCCATTTTTTAATCAAATTATTCTTTTTGTCCATTTTTCTAAAGATTTTATTTATTTATTTGACAGAGAGGGACACAGCAAGAGAGGGAACACAAGCAGAGGGAGTGGGAGAGGGAGAAGCGAGCTTCCTGTGGAGCAGTGAGCCCGACGGGGGGCTTGATCCCAGGACCCTGGGATCATGACCTGAGCTGAAGGCAGACGCCTAATGACTGAGCCACCCAGGCGCCCCTTTTGTCCATTTTTTAATCAAATTATTATATTCTGCTATTGAATTGTATGAGTTCCATATGTATTTTGAATATCAACCCCTTATATATGTATCATGGTTTACAAATATATCATATAGCACATACATACATGGTTTGCAAAGATTTTCTATTTCATAGGTTGCCTTTTCATTTTGTTGTTTCTTTTGGTGTGCAGAAGTTTTTAGGTTTATGTAGTTACACATGTTTATTTTTGCTTTTGCTGTTTTTTCTTCTTTTTGTCATATCCAAAAAATCATGGCAAAACCAAAATCAAGGAGCTTCTCCCCTATGTTTTCTTCTAAACTACAACTATGTTTATAGTTTTAGGTCTTACAGTTAAGTCTTCAGTCCATTTTGAGTTCATTTTTGTGAGTGGTGTAAGATAGGGTCCAACTTCATTCTTTGCATGTGAATATCCAGTTTTCTCAATACCATTTACTGAAGAGATTATTGCTTCCCCACTGAATATCTTTGGTTCCGTTGGTAGGTATTAGCTGACGATATAAGTGAGGGTTTATTGCTGGGCTGTCAGTTCTGTTCCATTCGTCTATATGTCTGGTTTTATGACAGTGCCATACTGTTTTGATTACTGTAGCTTTGTAATACAGTTTTAACTCAGGATGTGGGATGTCTTTGTTCTTTTTCAATATTGCTTTAGCTATTTAGGGTCTTTTTAAATTCCATATGAATTTTTTCATCTTATTAAATTTTAATTTAGTTATTAAAAATTATTTTTGTGGAAAATGCCATTGGAATTCTGATAGGAATTGCTTACTTCCAGTACTGTGCTGAATAGGAGTAGTGAGATCAGGTACCCTTGTCTTGTTTCTGATCTTAGAGGGACAGTATTAAACTTTTTACTGTTGAGTATGATGTTAGCTTTGGGCATGTCATATATGGCCTTCATTATGTTGAGGTCTGTTCCTTCTATATCTAATTTCTTAAGAGTTTTTATTATGAAAAGGTGTTAAATGTTGTCAGTTGCTTTTTATGTCATTATTGAGAGGATCATATGATTTTTATCTTTCATTCTAGTCATGTGGTGTATCACAGTGATAGATTTATACACATTGAACCATCTCAGGGATAAATCCCACTTGATGATGTTGAATTATTCTTTAAATGTGTAGTTGAAAGTGCTTAGTATTTTGTTGAGAATTTTTGCATCAAAGTTCATTAGGGGTATTGGCTTATAATTTTCTTTTCTTGTAGAATCCTTATAGTATCTGACTGTGGGAATGAGGTAATGTGGACTACATTAAAATAAGTTTGACAGTGTTCTCTCCTCTTCAATATTTTAGACAAGTTTGAGAAGAACTGCTATTATTTTTTCTTTAAATGTTTAGCAGAATTCACCAGTGAAACTATCTGGGACTGAATTTTCTTTGTTGAGAGGATTTTAATTACAGATCCAATCTACTTACTCATCATTGGTCTGTTCAGATTTTCTATTCATGATTCAGTCTTGGTATATTGTATATTTCTAGGAATTTATCAATTTCTTGTAGGTTATCCAGTTTGTTGGCATATAACTGTTCATAGTAGTCTCTTATGACACTTGCATTTGTATGGTATTAGTTGTAATGTACCCTCTTCCATTCATAATTTTATTATTTGAGTCCTCTTTCTTTCTTGGTAAGTCTAGCTAAAGGTTTGCTAATTTTTTTTTTTTTAAAAACAACTCAATTTTGTTGACCTTTTCTGTTGTTTTCTATTCTTTATTTCATTTATTTCTGCTAATTTCATTTATTTCTGCTGATTTTTGTCATCTTCTTTCTTTTGCTAATTTTGGGCTTGGTTTGATCTTTTTCCTAGAAGTTCTTTAAGGTGTAATGTTAGGTTGTATGAGTTTATTTATTTAGGCATTTATTGCTATAAATTTGCTTCTTAACACTGCTTTTGCTTTACCCCATAAATTTTGTTATATTGTGTTTCCATT